ATTGAAAAGATTATTTATTTATTTATAATTTTTGTGTAAAGTATAAAATTTCCAATTTAGGATTGTCTTAGACTTAAGCAAACTAGAAATATAGTAATTTATATATATCTATACTCAAATTTAAATCAGCAATGCCTTAGATAAGTAAATAGTAGTACTGGACTATTAACACCATAATAGCCCAGTACTCTTATTCACTTGTCATATTAATGGTCCTCTTAATATGCATGATGGAACAGTGATTTTCTTATTTCAAAGGAGTGCTTCTGTTTTTTTGTTTGAAAATTTTCTGTGTAAGTGGAAGAGGGATTATAAGTGTAAAATGTGTCATATAAGGCCAAATGTTAATGGAACTGTTAGGAGTTGGTGTGGATAGGGGAAGAGGATTTCAATATAAGATCATAGGGTCGGGATATTTGAAGTTTTTATCATTCGAGCAACACCGTCATACTTTGTGTTACTGAATTTTGCATGAGTTTATATTTAAATATTTTTTTCACTATAGGCCAAAAAAAAAAAAGGGAGGAAAAATGACCATTGAGTTGTTGCAGGGATGGACATAGTAAGGGATCAACGGGGCAACCTCCCCCACTGAATTACAAAATTCACTATATTTATAGTAATATAGTAGCTTATCGGTATCTATACTCACAAATGGAGAAGATGATTGAGAATAAGATTTTATAAGAATGAGTTCACATATAATAGGTTGCATGGGTATTTTAGACACTAAAAAGGATAATTTGGTCCTCAAATATTTAATTTCTCAAATGGATCAATTTATAGTGTTGTAAACTGTTATAATGGTAAACTACAGATGGGTGAGATTGATTTATTTTAGAATAGCTGAGGTAGTTATGTGATGATTTAGGCATGTTTGCTACGCATTTTGTTTTGGTGATTTTTATTTTATGTAATCGTGTGTAGTGGAAAAAACATGTTTTACTAACACTAGGCTCCATTTGTTTGCATGTAAAATATATATATTTTTTTCTATGTGTTTGGTTATCGTAAAATAATTACGGAGAAAAAAAATATTTAGTAAAACGTAACAAATTTAACTTACCTGTCAATTTTCGGTAAATTATTTTACGCGCCATACTCGATGAGATCGATCTCAACTTCTACCTAAACGTTTGCCAAATACTAAAATATATATATATATATATATATATATATATATATATATATATATATATTTTACCACAGGTGGCAAATGGGCGGGTTGGGTCGGATTTGGGCTGGGTTGAAAATGACCGGGTCAAACATGGGTCAAGACCCATATTCAACCCGCTCAGAACTGGTTGAAAATGGATGGGTAAAAAATGTATAGGGTCAACCTGTTATGACTCGTGAACCCATTAAAAATTTCGATGTTTACAAATATGGGAAAAAAAAATGTAATTTGCATATTTGTAAAAAATAATGACCCGTGAAAACCTCCCAACCCACCAAAAATATTGATGTTTAAAAAATAAAATTTTCTTAAAAATTTTGATGTTTACAAACATGGAAAAGGAAAATGTAATTTGTATAAAAAAATAATAATAAAAAATTTTGACCCGTGAAACCCGATCGACCAGCCCAAAATATTGACATTTAAAAAATAAAATTTTCTTAAAATTTTTGATATTTACAAACATGGAAAAAAAAAATTGAATATTTGAAAAAAAATAAAATAATAATTGATCCGTGAAACCCGACCGACCCGCCTAAAATTTTGATATTTAAAAAATAATTTTTTTTTAAAAATTTTGATGTTTACAAACATAAAAAAGGAAAACGTAATTTGTGTATTTGTAAAAAATATATATATATATTTGACCCGTGAGACCCGATCGACCAGCCCAAAATATTGATGTTTAAAAATAAAAAAATTTTAAATTTTTTGATGTTTATAGACATGGAAAAAGAAAATGTAATTTGCCAGTTTGAAAAATAATAATAATAATAAAATTTGACTCATGAAACCCGACCAACCCGCCCAAAATTTTGATGTTTACAAACATGGAAAAAGAAAATGTAATTTGCATATTTGAAAAAATAAAATAAAATAAAAATTGACCTGTGAAACCCGACCGACCCGCCCAAAAATTTGATGTTTAAAAAATAAAATTTTATTAAAAAAGGAAAACGTAATTTGTATATTTGTAAAATAAAAAAAAAAATACCCGTGAAACCCGATCGACCTGCCCAAAATATTGATGTTTAAAAATATATATATATTTTTTTAAAATTTTGATGTTTACAAACATGGAAAAAGAAAATGTAATTTGCATATTTGAAAAAATAAATAAATAAATTTTTTTACCTATGAAACCCGACCGACCCACCCAAAATTTTGATGTTGAAAAATAAAATTTTCTTAAAAAATTTAATGTTTACAAACATAGAAAAGGAAAATGTAATTTGTATATTTGTTAAAAAATATATATATTAAAAAAAAAAAGAGACCCGTGAAACCCGCATAACCTGCCCAAAATATGGGCTGGGACTGGGCTGGATTGGGCTAGCCCAACTTGCAGCCCTTCGTGAGAGAGAGGAATGAGTTGAATGTAATGTAGAATATATATGTATTATGTGTCTATTTTGTGATGGGTGAAATATTGATTGAATATTTGTAATCATATATAATTCATTTTGACTCTCAAATTAAGTGATTAAAAATAATCCAACCTATTTTTGACCCATCTTAAATATAATTCACCCATAATCATTAAAAAGCGAGTGGATATGGGCAGATTGATAGTTTCTGAACCATTTTGCCACCCTTATATTTTAGGTAAGCTATTGCTTAATGGATTAGAGCTCAATGGATTCGAATTCAATCTTTACTTATACATTTGCCAAATACCAAAACTTTAAAAACTATTTTACATGAAAAATAAAAAATAAAAATAAAAATTCAAGAAACGTCGAAACAAACGAGCCCAAAATATAGAGGCAAAAACAAAACGGGTACTAGTTTGGTGGTATATGACTAAAATTGATAGGTCAAAGTCTTAATTAGGCAGGCCGAAACTCAATTTATAGCATAAATCATAACGTGGCATGTGCCCAAGTTTGAACTGGGCCAGTTATTTCAGAGCTTGGGCCGAGATTGTTGTTTGTTCACCTCAATAGATATACACATAGAAGTAAAAAGACACGTGGGTTCTGCTAACGCTACAAATTAATTGAAGCTTGTTGCGAGAAAAGGTGCAACCGGAAGGAAAACCTAATTCCTAATCCCGAGTGGGAAACGTTTGATATTCGTGCTTCGATTTATCCATTTAGTTTTATTATTATTATTATTTAAATGGAAACTTGAATTCTATGTTGATGGACTTTTTTTTTTTTTTTTTTTTCCAAACTAATAATAATGTATTAATATATTTTAATTTTTTAAAAACAAATAAAAAACACTCTTTACCAAACATGTTTCTGGCTTTGCCAAATATGTACTTTTTTCAAATATATATCTATATTTATACTATTATTAAAAAGGTAAAGAGTTTCAGTTTTTCAGTATCTTCTATTAAAATAAAAGAGTTTCTATAAAACTATTAAAACAACTAAAACAAGTTACATAAAATAGGTATTTATTAAATAAAATAATTTATCAAATAATAAAATAAATTATCAATTAAAATTAAATATGTAATCAATACGTTTTAAATTATAAAATAAATTTATAATTAAAATTAAATAGGTAATTATTTAATTGAAATTCAATCAAGATGTTTCAAATTATTTATAGATAAAATAATAAAATAATTACCAAATAATAAAATAAGTTACTAATTAAAATAAATCTTATAAGTTACCAATTAAAATAATTCTTATAAGTTACCAATTAAAATAATTCCTATTTTTCTTGAAATTCTTCAATAATTATTTATTAATATAAAAAAATTAATTGATATAAAATGAATAAAAATAAAAGAGTTTCTATGAATTAAATGAATTAAAATAAAATAGATTCTGTAGATAAAATGAATTAAAATAAAAGAGTTTCTATAAAACTATTAAAATAACTAAAACAAGTTACAATGTTTCAAATCATTTATATATAAAATAATAAAATAATTTATCAAATAATAAAATAAGTTACCAAATTAAAATAAATCCTATAAGTTACCAATTAAAATAAAACATATTATGCTTAGAATTCTTCAGTATTTATTTATTAATATAAAAAAATATTTATTTATCGTTATAAAATGAATAAAAATACAAGCGATTCTATAAATAAAATGAATTAAAATGAAAGAGATTCTAAACAAATTTATTTTGATTTTGATTGATCTGGTTCAAAATTCTTTATTTTATTACTCACTTAATATATACCCCACACACACTACAGACGGCTGCTAAAGCTACAAATTAATTGAAGTTTAGAGAGGTTGTTTGTTCACCTCAATATATATACACACACAGGTGAGAAACGTTTGATATTCGTTCAATATGTTGAATTTGTATATTGCGATCGCCTTGTGTTACTGGACTTTTATTATTTTCCGAATCTTGATTTGATTGATCATCTAAGCTTGTCGATTGTCTTTTTTCTTGTTTCATTATTTTCGTTCTCTTATAGTAGTTGACGTACTGATTTGGGAAAAAAAGAGAGGGTATAATTTGGTTTTTATTTTCCCTTTGAGCTTTTAGTCTCTTCAATGTGAATCATGTCTCTAAAATGTTTCACAGGATTGAAACTGTGCCTCGAATCTTGAAATTAAAGGGAAAATAGTTTATAGTTTGATTGATATTGTCTTCAATTTCAATTCCAATTTCAAGACGTTAAAATTAGACGCCCATTCTTTCAAGTTCTCTATTGGTGTCACCACATGCTGAGAAAAGAAAGAAAAAGAAAAAGAAAAATTAAATTGTTTCTTGTAGTCACTTAAAAATGATCCAATGTATAAACAAATGTTTATCACCTTAAACCTGTGGATTATTTAAGTAGAAAATATGTAATATTGTTTCAACGTAGTTTCACTTTAAAATGATCTAATTTACAAATGTATTCTCATGGTTTTTTAACTGTATTTGACAGTACTGACAGTGTGTGCTGCGATACTTTATATGAGATAGGTCCAACTATGGAAATGCTCAGAGAGTACGATATCATCAAGTTCTCCCCTGTGGAGTTAGATGATTTGACTAGTAATTTTAGCCAAGCAAATCTGATTGGAGAAGCCCAATTCGGCAAAGTGTATCGAGGAAAGACTCAGCAAGGTCAGGATGTGACTGTGAAGATTTGGGAAGATTTAGGAAAATTTGCTGTAGGCCGGGATGAACACCGTTCCCAATTTGCGGTAGTAACAGTATTTCATTAGTTTAGTGTCTGAAATTTCAATTTTGAAATTTGATGGTTATAGATGTTGTTCCTGTCATTGTTGAATGTTGTGTTCAATTTTATCAGAAAGAATGCATTTTTCTAATGGAGTCGAGTGTAAATCATCATCCAAGTCTGGTCAAACTTTTGGGATATTGCTGTGAAGATAGTCTGTTGGGGGTTGTTTATGACCTTAAACCAGTGGATACAGTGCACAACCTCATTGATAAAGGTATTTCATATTTTCTTTCTTCGATTAATATGTTACAACTTGACTTTTCTAATCATCCATCAATCTGTTGAGCATGCACGTCATGTTTTCAGTATATGTTGGGAGAGAGGGAAAATGAATCTTACAAAGTGACAACTATAATTGCAAGACCAACTGATTTTCCATATTAGTGTTTGGTGATAACATTTACTACTTTGGCTTGCTATACTGAATCTTAAATCTGCTCCTAAACTGATTATTTTAGTAAATCATTGTTTAGTTTGTTGGATAATCTCTCTCTGTATCTCTATCTCTCTCTGTGTGTGTACTTTATTTTCTTCTTTGACTAAGAAAATATATTTCTTCGAGTAATTAAAATTTTGACTTGTTTGGACGTACCACATTTAGTAGAGTGTAGCTGCCATCACATGAAGGGATATGGTTGGTACTTAAGATAAACTTCTTTAAAATAGATTAGTATGCTATTTACTAAAAGAGTTTTGTTTTTTCGGGTAAACGTAGATCGCTTTTCCTGGCTCCACAGAATCAAGGTGGCAATTGATATGGCACGTCTGCTCGAGTTTTTGCATTATCATCATAAACCGCAATACCTAGTTCGCAATATTAGTTCTGCACATATGATGGTTGATCAGGTTCGATCTGGTGTCCATGTACTTAGTGCACTTAGCTTTTCAGTAATTTTGTTCTGGAGAATTTTTTAATAAGAATTAAACTTGGTATTATGTTATGCTTAAACTCAGGATTACAATCCAGTACTATTCGACTTTTGTATGCTAGTTGGTGGGGTTTTTGGTGATGAGCAACCAATCGCAAATATGTTTGTACTTGGAGCGCCAGGCTATACTGATCCGATCATTATGAATATGGGTATGTCAACGTAATATTGTATTTATAATCTATTCCAAGCCTAGAGTTCATTGCCTGTGTCACCAGTGCATTTCTTAATTGCGAGTGCTTTTTTTCTTTTCTTTTTCCATCTATTATATAATGCTAAATAAATTGTGGGCAAAAGAGGAATGTCAAGTGAAAATATCAACCCAAACATATGAGTAAATCATTATGATTACTCATAAAAGCGTCCTTGACCCCTCTTTTTTTGGGAATCCATGGTGCTTATTGTGGGGAGGAAACTTGTGTTCAAAAAACTCTAATCCTAATATCATGCTATTGTTATGTGGTTCGCTTTATGAATATGACATAGTATCAAAATTTCTCTTGTTGCATACATGTATGAATCATAATGGTGAAGATCGAAGTGACTTGATGGTGCAAAGGAATTGTAAAATCCCAAAATAAGTAATTAATTTCAATTCATTTTGGCTATGAAAGGTCATTTGTTGTTGATTGTGGAAGAGAGGTGGAAAAAAAGGAAAAATTATTGATGATGTTAAGCAAGAGAAAGAGAGTGCCCCTTGGTTGAGAGAGAGATGGTGGTTGTATTTTTGCTCTAATAAAAGATGGTCTTCTTCATTCTGGGTGCAACTTACTTATTGCATACAAGAATATTCTTTGACCTTGTCATTTTCATCTCAACATAATACTTCCATAAAAGTTCGAGAGCCTATCCAATGAAAGTATCGAAAGCAAATCCACGTATTGGAGATCATATACAATAAATATGTAAAGATTATTTTACCTCTAATGAAGTATCATATGCTTCATAGGACCACTTATGCTATATAACTTACAGATGAAAGGATCTTCAAATCTAACACAGCTAGAACGATCCCTTCTGAAAAATACTTGAATAAAATTTTAATTTCCATATAACTCCACATTATTTTATGGAGGTCCATATTAGTATAATTAAATTCATGTGCATATATAAATATATCTTGTAGAAGTCGAAATAAAATATTTGGTGGGCGGTGGGCCCTCAAGTTTTATCCAGGCCAAAGATGAACATAGGCTGAATTGATTTGTATAATTTGGTTTGGATATCTGACTATTCCGTGTCTATTAATACATGAAAGAGTTGGGAATTGGGGGCCGTCCACCCAAGTTTAAAATCCTTTTAAAGATCAAGTAAAAGAAACTAAGATAACCCATCTAACCTAACTAATTCACTATTAGAGATAAATTGAACCCTCTACAGTCAGATGCTTCAATTGGAAGGACTACAGTGATTTGAACTTCTCTTGATGTGAGAAGTTCTAAATAATTAAACTGTATGCAAATTTTTTTGAAAATTTGAAGTCCTACTGAACATTGGGACTTAGAGCAGAGAAATTAAAGAACAAAAAACTACAGCAAACACTTTCATTTTTATCATAAGCTTTCTTAATTGCATGAGGTTTGTAGCCCTTTCATTGGACTTCCAAAACTTGTATACCTACCTTAGACACTGTGTCATACCATATTGTTTCTGGTTGTTTGCGCTTCATGTTTTGTTTGTCTAATTCATTTTATTCCAATCTAGAGTACGACATCACATGATTGTTTACTTGACTCCAATTTGGTCTTTTTCTGAGATTTTAACTATTTTGAGGAATATTTGAAGTAATTAATTTATTAATGAAAAATATATATATGTAATTAATTTTCTTCAAGATGATTTTTTACTTTCTTGTTTCGTAATATAATAGTTTCTAATCTTTTGATCTCTTTATCTGATTTTGAGGTGTGGGCCCTCCTTTCTCTTGGGCTTTTTCTTGTGAACTCTCTTACTAATTATATTTGTCAACATAAAGGGCTTTTTGGTAACACCCCTACCAAAGTACCAAGTGCTTAAAACTGGAAACTTTCAGTGGTTTTCTGTCTAGTGTTTTGATAAATGGACTCTGAGTTGTCTTTAAGAAAAATGTTTTCCATTTAGAAAGTGATATAAATTTTCAAGGTCATAATCCACACTTAACAAGCTTTTTGATGGGTATTTTTTAAGTGAATTTGGACTTGCATGTTGATCCTTAACTTTGATTTCATCAAATTAAAAAATTTCATCCTAGATTCCTAGTATAACTTAGCCCTGAAGTTTTTGTTACTTATCAAACAGCAGCTAAAGTAACTTAGAACACTTGCTATTTGGTATGAACAAGAGAACTGACAATTATGTTTTCAGTAGAGAATAAGGAATGTATGAAGTGATCATTCTTTCGATTGTATATGATTTATATGTTTATTGTTGTTAGTTATTGATATCATTGTTATTATTTTTATTGTTATTGTCAGGGTCAATTCCATTCTTGCTAGATTTTACATATTTTGAATGAATTGATTTTAGTTTCTAGAAAGATGAGAACCTTCAAATGGTACTCTTACTGTATGATTGTATCTTTTGCATGAAAAACTACCTTGAGTGGGTGATTGTAGCCATCCATTTATTTATTTATTATAATTTATGCGGAGCAAAGCCACCCTTGAGACTGTCTTCAGCAAGAAGTATCTCAAATGGTTTTTAGCGCACATATTCGTGTTGAAATTTTGCAAATTCTGTTTAATGGAATTAGTAAGATGTGCTCACCAAAAGGAAAAAAGGATAAAGAAAAAGAAAAACAGAAATATAAAAAGAATTTGGTAGATGGAATTTTGTAGTTGCTTTGTTTTTTAGCTTCTACTAGCTTTTTGTGTTTGGCATCTTTTCAGTTGTGTGATATATATATTTTTTTCGTTAATAAAAAAAAACCCTTCAACAGGTACATGGTGGAAGATACACGACGTCTTCTCGTTTGGCACTGTGCTTTTGGAGCTCATATCCAAAAGACCCTCTGAGATCAAGAAACCTGTACACAGTTGGGCTGAAGCCCAATACAATTTGAACGAGCCGAAGAAATCATCATTTGGCCGCTTTGCCCTCTCAAAGAAGTTCTCTCTCGTGCACAAAAGCTTTGAAGAAGATTTGGGGTTCAGTCAACACGATGGATATAAAATTACTGATCTGGCAATGCGCAGTGTGTCAGACACGGGCGTACGTCCATATATGAATGAAGTTGTTCAAACCTTGGAGAGGTTACATGCTGTTTGTCGTCATGGTCAACCGGGTTATTAATATGATGCTCTCTGTAGGTGAATAATGAAGGTGTAATATACTGTTCTCCAAGCTCTAATGTCTTGATACTGGAAAACTCTTTTCATTTCAACAAGCTTTATTTATTTATTTACCTACTTGAATCTAATTTTTCTTTCCCTATATGAGTGACTGATATTTATGTATTGTTTTCCTTCTAAATTATTCATTAAAAGTATAATACTTTTTCCTTCTAAATTATTCATTAAAAGCATAGTAGTTGTCCACTTTATTTATTTATTTTAACCAAGTTTTTATAAAAGTGAAAACCAGATAAGTTTGTGTAAAGTATTCTGATTTTCGGTTCTTTAAAAATTAATAAGCTGAAAAAAAAGTCCTACCAAAATACTACTGAAAATTTCATTACAGATTTTGATTTGATTTCTTATTTACAGATTTTGTTATTATTATTTTTATGGTACTTAGAAGACAATAAAATAATGATAGGGAGACCGAAGAATTAATTTCGAATAAGCAGTGAATCTCACCCTATTTACTTAAACAGTTTTTAAAAAATAATAACAAATGACAAGTATAGTTAATCAAGTCAGATTCGGTGTTAATTCGGGGATTCATTTTCGGTTTCTTATCATTACTTTTTATTTAATTAAGACTTCACAAGAAGATGCTTTTTTGGGAAATAAATGCACTTGAATAAGATGCAAAACACCATTGCAGCTTCTATAAGCATGGTGTGAGTATGAATTTTGAATTGAAACAAAGGTTTAATGATATTTATTTTATTTTTGTATTGGTGTTTAGAGTTTTTTGGTATAATGGGTTTATTGGCAACTGCTTCCAGTAGGAAAGATCCTTGCAAAACGTGAAGCAATCCATATATGACATTTTTTTCTCTCAAATTCCAGATTTTGATCAGTTATGGTGGCTTTCAATTGTTTCTGTAGCCATGTCCTGTCTACTCCGCTCTGTGCTTTTAGTTTAAAACTATTAATTTTGGTAACAGGTCTGAAGAGGGGCATGAAAATTGATTTGGGTTTCTTCATCATGGGAGAAGAGTGAGAGATTGTGGAAGACCAATAGCCCACAACTCACACAAATCATTGGCCAAAGGCGGATCTAGGGGTGGGCTTGTCCATTAGCTGAATGCTCTTCCTTCGGCAATTGCCGAACGCTTGATTCAGAGAGCCAAACGCTCTTCCAAGGCCATCCGAACGAGCACTCTTCCCTTTAGAGAGCCAAACGCTCTTCCCTTGTCCATTAGCCGAACGCTCTTCCTTCGGTAATCAAAGAGCCAAATGCTCTTCCTTCAGCAATTGCCGAATGCTTCATTCAGAGAGCCAAACGCTCTTCCAAGGCAAACCAAGCGGTCTTCCAAAGGCCAACCGAGCGCTCTTCCAAGGCAAATTGAGCGCTCTTCCAAAGCAAACCAAGCACTCTTCCAAAGGCCAGTGAGTAGAAGGCTAATTACGAGCACTCGTCCCTTCATTGGACGAGCGCTCGTCCAGACAATGCAAATCTAGCTGGCATTTTGAACCTTTCAATTTGATTCCCTCCTTAATTGAGGTTGTTGGTAAAGTGCTTTTAGGAGGAGGTTTGGTAGACATTTTGTCTACTTAAAGAAAGGGTGATCATTGTAAAAAGGGAGCTCGGAATAGGGAGTTATTGGAGAATAATTCTAGGGAGAGAATTATTGAGTTTTGGGTTGTATATTTCTGAAAGTGGTGAGAATGAAAGGGTTGAGTTCTTCACCCTCTTCCTTCCTTGCTGCTATGGGTAACTAACTCCCTTCCTAGGGAGGTGATGAAGCATTTCCTTGTAATCATGCTCTAGTTGTATTTTAATTTGCGGAATGAAATATGTATATGATAGTTTTATAGTCTAGAGATTTACACAAGTTGTAATGGCTCTTCATTTCAATAAATGATTGTGTTGAACTTATTATCTTGTCTTAGATTGTATTTTCTCGTAATTATACTGCTTACATCTTCATGGTGAGAATGGAGATGAGATTATGAAATGGTTTTTAATGGCATGTTGTATGGAAGTTTTGATAGTCCATAGCTTAGAAACACCTTTGTTGGATTATGCTTAGTTTTTGACTTCATGTGCTCTCATGATACTTATTGAGGAATTTGATAGTCCATAACTTAGTGAGCATGCCTTAAGCTACACCATAGTCTAGGTAGTGAAATCATGTAAAACTTTGATGGATTATACTTAATTTTTGATTTTATGAATTTCTTGAAGGTAATGTAGTAATCATGTATTTCTACATATCATGGTCACATATATAAGTTGTTCCCCAGTTAATCGCAAACAAGCATGTTTATATGGTTGGTGGTTAATTCACTTCCCTAGCTCTCTCTACATAAGTTTAATTCATCTTAAATTCATCCCATTTACTGTTTTATGCAAATTTCATTTCCTTGTTCTAAGTGACAAACAAAACAAACCACTTACACCTCTTTTTTCAAACTAATTTATTTGACAACCTTGGTTGACATAAACTATCAATCCCTAGTTCGACTTACCCTTACGATAGCCCTATTTTACAATGATTTGTGCTATTACAAGTGTTGATTATTATTGGTAAACATTTATCGACCACCATGCTGATAACATATTATAATTTTATATGTTATAGACAGTATAACAACATATATAAATAGAGGGACAAAAAGAGATAAAAGAAAGTAATATAATCTTATTGATTTTCTTTTTCCTTTTCTATATCACATTCGAAGTACAATTGATGAGTATATATATAGGCTCAACGATGAGCTTTCTGTGTAAGCCAACAAACTTGCTTACCACTCTAAGGGATTATCATTGATGATGTAAGCAATGATGCAAGGTTCAAAGATTGCATAAACAAATGTATTATGTGGATCCCACATTCATAACACAAATAAAATGAAAGAGGATTTTTATGTCTGACGACATCATTTGAATGATACACTCTTACAAAAGGAAAATAACACTCTTATTCCATAATTACACTCTTTGTGACTTCATCCACCTACTTATGTAATTTTTAACTCTTACCCTTACAACTTGTTATTTACAGGTAAGACCTATACTCTTTATATATAGAAATGCATTACCATCGATGGCTAAAATATTCTACAATTTTTTATCTAACTATATAAATATTTACAATATCTATAGAACTCTCTACTATCTGCCATGTTCTTTAATCTATAAATTCCTACCAACTTTCTAGTGTAATAGAATTATCCATCACTAACTCCAAGACTCCATAATTCTATATACAATCATGGAAGACTTCAAAACTTAACACTACTCATACTCTACACAGTCAATAAAAAATGGATGAGTTAGAGAATAGGTGTTTGTATAACTGTAACGACCCGAACCCGAGGGTTCGAATCGCTATCCAGGTCCTAACTCGAACTTTAGTACATCTAAGGGTTCTATTGTCATTATACACCTTGCTAAGTTCTAGGAGTCATAATGAAATCATAGTAGTTGTTTCTAGGCATATAGGTCCATGAAAATGTGAAAATTTCCAACTTCGAGTTCACACCGGGCCCCTGGGGTTTACAAAGGTAAAATTATCATTTTGAGTCATAATTATGAAATGGGACTGGTACCAATGGAAAGAGGGTTCAAGGTCCTTGAATTTGGAGTCAAGAATGGCTTAATTCAGGTCAGAAACAAATGAGATAAGGTTAATCAAAGTTTGGTCATTAAGTGGGCGAAAAATGGGCATTCTAACGACCGATCGTAAACGTTTGCGATCGATCGTAAATATCTACAATCGATCGTTAATATTTATGACTGACTGTAGATCCCACATCCATAACAAAAATAAAATAAAGAGGATTTTTAAGTCCCGTGGCATTATTTGAATGATACTTTTTTTTTTTTTTTTTTTTTTTTCCTAGTTGGTACTCACACACACTTGTCTCTTCTGAGACTTGAACCCTTGACCTCCTTTTGGGAAGTAAAAGACTGATACCGTTAGTTCACTGGCCCGTTGGTTATTTGAATGATACACTCTTACAAAAGGAAAATAAAACTCTTATTTCACAATTACACTCCTGGTGACTTCATCCACCTACTTATGTAATTTCTAACTCTTACCCTTACAACTTGTTATTTACAGATAAGACCTATACTCTTTATATATTGAAATGCATTACCATCGATGGCTAAAATATTATCTATAATTTTTCATCTAACTATATAAATATTTACAATACCCATAACACTCTCTACTATTCTGCTATGTTCTCTAATCTACAAATTCCTACCAACTCTTTAATGTAATAGAATTATCCATCACTAGCTCCAAGACTCCACAATTCTGTATACAATCATGGAAGACTTTAAAACTTAACACTATTCATGCCATGCAAACGTGATGCAAAGTCCTTAGCTCCAAGACTCTATAATTCTCTATGTTTCCCGAAGATTAAAAAAAGAATAAAAAGTAAAAAGATGTCCATTGATATAGAAGTATGTTTTGGTTCATTTCGATGTTTGGTTAGTCCATCTATATTTTGAGCTCAGCTTATTATTTTTCCTGTTTTGTGACACAAAACTTAAACTGTCATTACTCAGTCATTTTAAATCCAAATTGGGTCATTCTTGAGCTCAAATTTAAGAATTTTTCGTCAGCTTTCCAATTGTATCAATTCCATTTTCAGATTCCTATCCTACCAGGAGATATTTAAATTTTAGTGAGATAGTGTCAGAAAATTATTTAAACCAAGATAGAGTATTTATGGAAAACCATTTCTATAGGGTCTAGAAACTCATGAAATATTTATTCATGTTTGGTATGACCTTAAGGGACCTAGTTCCACTGGCAGGCAATCCCGTGTTGGTCAGTAATGAGGTTTGCTCATATTTCTATAGTCTCAATCTGTGTCATAGTCCCCAATATTGCAACTTGAAAGGCAGTAACAGATCTCTATAAGGACTTCCCTACCAATGTGTTTGGACCTTCCAACAACCCACTCTTA